ATGTCAAAGACAAGCCTGGGGGGGGGGGAGCTTATGGGCAGGCAGGAATCCACACTGCTGTGGAGAGGGTGGCAGATGATGCCGTGCCAGAACCCAGGTGGATTAACCCCACAGGAAGTTGTCTCCTGGTGCTGAAGGCTGCCAGTCAGAAACCAGGGTGTTGGTCAGGTTGGGTTCTCTCAGACTCCAGCCTAGAATCCTTCCCTGTCACTGCAGTGTCTGTCTCCATGACTTCATGTTGTCTTATAAGGGCCCCAGCTGTTGGTAAATGGGGTCACATTCTGAGGTCCTGGAAACAGGGACTTCAACTTTTTTGGAGGACCCAAATGAACCTGTAATGGACGAGCTAGCAAAAGCAGGGTGTTGGTGGACTCCTTGAAGTAGGACAGATTTCCTGCTGAGTTGGGACAGTACCATGTCTTACACAAGGAGCAGTGGTGTAAATGGAACATTGGTGGCTTTTTGTGGAAAATGACTAAAAAGCATCTATAGTCAAGTTGAAATATAAGTTTCAAATTTAGGTGGTCACAAGAGTAGTGAACATAGATTAAGTTTAATAAGCACTTTATTTGGAAGACAAGAAATGTTTAGTGTAGGTGGTGGGGTGGTGAAGATTTCCCAGACATATAAGGCAGTTGGGGTAAGGGCCCAGAACTTGAGATGTAATCGGGAGGGCTTTCTCTGCAAATGACAAAGCACCTTAGGAAGTCAGCCAGATGTGCTAACATCCTTGTTTCTGGAATCCTATTTCCATGCTTTCAGAACCCTCACTTAGGCTTGAAAGCAAACTGCCTTTGGATCGCTAAAAATCTAGTACAACTGCCTTTTCAAAACCCATTACCAGAAACAGCCTTAAAATCATTTCCTGTTTTGTGCTCCCAACCTGTAACATCAGTTTTCAGAGCTTTCCTTGGGTTCAAGGACAGGCTCTTAGCAGTTTTGATCCCCCTAGAAAATTCAGTTGAAATCAGGATCACTGGTATTTCAAGATGCCATACTATTCTATCCCATGGAGAGCTGGAAGGTCTAGCTGTTTTCTAGCTGTATTTCTTAGACCTGCTAAGAATCATCAGGGGCAGGGAGCAGGGCTGAACAAAAAGAACCTTTTAATTTTCATTGGATGGATATATTTGTGGATGCAAGGAACTTGGTCACTGGTGCCAGGATTTCCTCTGGGTCTGGTAACAGGAAGTGCTGCTTCGTAGTTGTGGGCTGAGTTTGAATCCTGTATTTGGAATCTGCTTCCACACTCCTCCTCTGACATAATTACCCCAGGGACTTATGAGGAAACATAGACCCTCCCTCACGAGCAGGCAATTTCAAAGGGGAAGAGTGGAGCCAACCATTGAAATTAAATTTTAAAAAAAAAAAAAAAAAAAAAAAGCTCAAGGGTTGAGTCACAGCATGATAAAACTCTAAACAGTATGTCAGGAAGCACCAGGCAAATCCAAAGCCTTGTAACTCAGTCAAGAGAAAACTAGTAGCCTTCCTTTTGTTCAATACAAATAGCAGGCATGCTGAGACATACCTTTGACTCACCAATAAACATACTGAGCATCTTGAGAGAGAAAATATACTTCAGCAAATGAAATTGTACTGGATGAGAAAGATTAGATAAAAAAAAACATGTAGAGGAATTTAAATGTTTAAAAGATAATCTACTTGCATTGTGCAACCAAAATGCATTAAGACTAGTTGTTTTGGGAATTACTTGTTTCTCTCTGGACTACGGAACCACAACACTGTCCTGGTGAGCTGAGCTGCTGCCTGGGGAAACTGTCTGCATTTCCATTGGGGTTTTTACTGATTACTGTCACTATGGGAAGAACTACATGGGGACATTTGAAGTTACAGAAGATGAGGTGTACTATACGACTTATGCAAAGTCATAAGGAGAAAAAAGATGAAAATCAATTCTCCATGCACTCTGTTCTCTGGAGCAAACACTGGAAATTTTTTTTTTTTTTTTTTTTTTTGCTAAGCAAGCATGGTCCTGTCCCTAAGTCCAAAGGCATCTTAGGACCCTGAAGAGACAGTGCCAAGCTTGTGTTTGATCCCATTAGGACAATTTACTAGTGAGCTCTGGTGCAACTCGTCAAGGGTTCTCACCCTCCCTGCCTGCCAGGTTGGCGCTGGTGAGCAGGCCATTCTCCTGGAGGGTCTACTCGGCATATAGTCCACTCTCAGTAGATTCAGATCTGAGTACTACTTTCAAATTTACTGAAATCTGACCAGCAAGTCACAAGCCACTGCAAACAGACTTGGTAGCTTGCTTCGGGGATGAATGATTATTATCAGACACAAGAACAATGACACGCAGTACACAATACCCTTTGAGATCTGTCAGTTCAAAACTTTGGAAATTCTTAAAAAAACAGTCACCTAGTAGCATTCTTAAAATCAGTATCCACTAGCTAGACGTTATCATCTTATTCTACATAAGATACCGTTGCTATGAATACTGTCACATGTGACCTAGTGTTCTATCCAGAACTGTACAAATACTGTCTTGCTGTTGCAGCAGCTGAGACTGTAAAAGTTCCTAGCTAAGGTGGCTGCATAGATCTTCTGTTCTGCTTCGTCATTTACAGCTGTGTTTGAGCATATCCCACAGTGGCAGTGACCTGCATTTGACCTGGCAGCCAGCTTTTCAACAAAATATCGTGGCTCTGTTACCTGTGTATTTCCATCTCATCCATTTAGGTTTGTACCAGTTTTATTTAGAGGCTCCTTGGTCAAAAGTCAGGGACGCTGGCTCTCAGGTAGTCTAATGGTTCAAATGTTCAATCTTCAGCTATACTCAGTGAATCAAAAGTCATATGTTAATGTGTAATGGTTTGATAACTTTAGTTCAGGGCAGGGTGAATGTCTGCCATGGTCAAGCACTATCTTCTTTATCAACAACTGTATTTCAATGAAGTACAAAAGCCTTGAGGAGGCTTGAGTGTGCTGATTTGGTTTATACCCGGGAAAGGGAAAGATCACTGGGTGACAGTGACATCATCAAGTCAGGAAAAGGCTATTCTGCAGATGACATTGCATCCTGGAGACCCTGAACCAATGGAGAGGTGTCTCACCAGAGTGGTTCCACTTACATGCTGCAGGGGAGAACTCAGCCTCAGTGCTCTTTGGACTGGTGGAGGTAGAGGTTTGCTGCTAGAGCAATCTCCCCTGAACCTAATGGTAGCAAGTCTGACACTGGTTCATGATCTTTCCCAAAGTGCTCTTGTATACTCCTTTTTGGGGACTGTGGAAACTAAAGGGGGTGTGTGTGCGGAACTTGGGTAAGGAATAGGTATTAGGAATTCAGCTTTGGAGATTATAACTTCAGGCTGGTGAACTACAGAAATATTGTCTAGAAAAACTGACATGGCATATACTATTTAAAACAAACCAAGGATCTAACAGTATTGCAGCCTTAGGTTCACAGTTAAACCTTTCAGCAAAAGCATACTCCTCAAACTCATCTGAAGATTTTCTTGGGTGTTGAGAACTTCATTTTACAATGAACATTCCCCTATCTCTAGGAAACCATGCCTGATGATTTCCCTATTTGATGCTTTCTCGCTCTCTGGCTATTTTCAGGGTTCTTTCCCTTCACTGTGGTGATACCTTGCTTGTACAAATAAAGCCTGTCTGAAGGTCAGAAAATGGAGCTTGCCACTAGCTAACCATAGAGGTCTGTCTGGAGGTTTGTACAGACAGGAAGTGGGATAGCTGGGCAGAAACAGGAACTCGCTCTCTTGTCTACTGAGACACTAAGGAGCTAAGGTGTGGCGGTTTGCTCCTTCTCTCTGATCTCTCAGCACTTTCTATATCTGACGCTGGTTTTTATTACTTAGACCAATCAAGAACTCCATTTACACTTGAGTCTGCACCAAAATCCCCCAGAGGCCCAGCCCAGAATTTGACTCTTAGGTCTCAGCTGGGATTTGACAAATGTGCATTTGTATCAACTTTCTCAGTTACGGCAATGTGGCTAGTCTAAAGCTCACATTTTTGAGATCACTGATCTTGCACACAGATGGAGAAGTCAGTGCGGTGTGCTATACTGTGCAGTGTCGAAGTTCTGTGTAGCTGCTGTCTAATGAAAAACAAGTTAGGTGTGAAGTTCACTCTTCTTTTCAACCCATATCCACTAGTTTGCTCTTCAAATGTTATATAAAGGGGCCCCATTCCCTTTATAACATTTAATCAGACTGAAGCTGCTTCTTACAGACTCCCTCCCTCCCCCCCTCGAGACAGGGTTTCTCTATGTAACAGACCTGGTTGTCCTTGAACTCACAGAGATCCGCCTGACTGCCTCCCAAGTGCTGGGACTAAAGGTGTGCACCACCAACACTTTAAAATGAGAACTATGTGAAAAATTTTCTGTGATCACATTTACCTAAAGCTATACCAGGTGTCTGTCCGGTCTATACTTTAGAGACAACAGGGTTTGCTGTAACTTAGCACTGGCATTTTTTTGTTTCCTCATTTTTATTAATGGATCACTTAAGAAAGTTTTCTGGAACTGACTAAGATTACAACAGAAACAAACTGACTTCATATATAATGTGGTTAGTTTTGAGATTGAAAGTACACTCTATATGAGTGGTCACTGATTTGGGAAATGCAGGTGTTCAAGAAAGAAGCAGCAACCTCAGAGAGCAATGGAAGGACTGTGCCAGCCCATGACACGATTTTCTTCAGTGTCAGTAACTCTGACACTCTACTGGCAGTGTCTTGTTCTCAAGTCAGCAAGGAGGGTTCCTGGACCCATACACAGCAACAATATGTATCAGAAGACTAACCCCGAGGTAAAAGCCTCTCTATGAGTAGCACAATCTATTCCCAGTAGGTCTTTAATATCTGGTTTCTATCCCCAGTCTATTACTTTTTCTAGAAGTGGAATAAAATCAGATTAAAAGCTCAAGTAAGTCAAGGTTTTCGTATAGCTGAAGGAAATCTGGAAAGGAAGGCGACAGTGACTGGGGGATAAACATGTTGCTGACATGTTATCTGTAGCACAATTCAAGTTTATTCCATTTGTTCTTGCAACACGAAACTTAAACACAGTATTAGTTAGCATTCGGATGTACATGAACTAGGATACTTATGAGAAACCCAACTGTGTCAAAGGAATGACGATGCTGTGGAACCATGAACTCAAATATACCAAAAATGCACAAAGCACTAGTCTTCCTCCATACTGCCTAGAAAGATTGATTGTTTCTCCACTTACAAAATAGAATCAGGACAATTGAAATTTTCAACTTTTGCATGCAAAACACTGCAATTGCTTATTTAGGTAGGAGGGCACTCTTACCAGCTTCTTCTATACAGAACCAGTATACAATGTTACATGAAGAAACAGCAGCTGAGCTGAAGTTGAAAAAAAAAAAAGTCAAGTACACATAAACTGAAGCTCCCTTACCCAGGCAAAGAAATGACTAGAAGGCTTCCACATGCTGCAGCTACTGCCTTTCTTCTGTGCCCAGCTGGTTGTACAAAGTGAGCTGGGATATGCAAGTGCTGTAGTAGATAGAACTCAAATCTACAGAGCCGGCGTGAAGCTGTGGGGGGTATCAGAACACTAACCATCAAAAGGTAAATTACCTGTTTTGATACAGTGCATATGAAATGATGGATTTGATACAAAACTATAGAACATGCAGGTTTTTTCTGAGATGTTAAATAGTATTTCAGTGGAAAACAAAACTTAACCTTTTATTAATGCGTGTAGTACCAAAAGCAGACATTTTAGCTTTCTTTATTCAAAAATATTAACATTAAGTGTCATGAATTTCTCTGCCAAGTGGTTCAGAAATACATTATAAATAACCTAGTTTACTTTTTATTATTTTATTTTATTTTATTTTTTTTAAAAGAAACTGTAAACCATCCTGGTCAGTCTATCTTACTCTATGTTTATATGCTATTTTCTCAAGCAATTGCTTCATAGCTATGGGTTTACAAAATGGCCAACAAAGGGGGGAAGGCAAAATAGCCTCTACTGCATCACAAGGAACACAAGGATAAACTGTACAAGGGATCGTATGGTTTCAGTACCATAATGACTGTAGAAAGCAGACCCAAGTTTAGGAATGATAAGACAATATACTCTCTGTAATAGCCAACTGTAACAAAACACTTTGAAAGAAAAAAATGACAATTCTGTAAAGGGTTAAAATTCAAGCCTTTGAAACAGCAGTATGCCAAGAGGTGAGAACAAAGGTTTCAGAACACCCTGGTGCATTACATGATAGCTACAGACTGAGTGCCCCCACTTACTATCAGGATGTCCAACTCTAGTAGGTTGCATTAAGACAGCAGAGTTAGCCAATATACCAAAGTATTTAAACTACTGTTTTGTGATTGTTTTCTTGGACATAGAAAAATTACAGGGTCAGGCTAGTTGAAAGTGAAAAAGCCACAGGATAAAAAAGAGTTCATGGGGGAAAACACACACACACACACACACACACACACACACACACCAACCAGCCATCAACTGATCGATAGTTATTTAGTCAGGCTGACTGTTCTTGGTAATAGTTAGTTTAACCCCGCTATAGAATGCTACATTGCCCTAAAAAAAAAAAAAATCATTTTTTCTAATTACCCATAATTTGAATGTAAGTCCCTATCCCACCCACCCTTTAAAAATTTGAGGTACATTCAATTATTGCATGACTTGGTTAAGGAAAGACTATAATAATTTTTATAAGCCTGTGTGGATGGCAAGTCAAAGAAATCTTAATACTTTAAATATAAGATATCAAATCTAAGGTTGTATGTTTTAATTCATTTTATTGTTCATGAATTAAAATTTAGAGATAAGTCTAAATTTTCTACAGGCAGGTCCTCAGAACACCATTTTAGGGCACTGTATTCTAAGAACACAGAATGTACTGTGAAGTTGTCACATGTATGCAACACATGATTGTAAGAGAAACAAAAACATTAGGCAGGTGGGGTCGTTTTGGCCCAATAAGAGTCAATCAACAACTCAGGGAAACCTGGTAACAAACAAGCAGGTTTTTGAAGGGACGAGGTTCCATCTATCCAAATAGTACATCTCACCCCAGTGATAGCTTTGGTGCACTACAAAATCAGCATCCATGGTGGGTCTTAAGAGAGGCATTCCAAAGAATATTCTTCATTTTCCAAACAAAACTAAGGCTGATTCACTCAAATAGCAAATGAAGAAAATCCGTAAGTACTAAGACAACTGTTCTCTCTTTATAAGATACTAACACGCTTATGGCTATGATTTTATTTTTAAATCTCCCTTTACTACCAGTAGGAGTCTCAAAGTGTTTCAATGTTATATAAATGTCTGAGACTAAAGGAGAAAAAAAAGAAATAAGCATACTGGAATGATTCCTCCTTTAGGCTCCTAGAATTTAACATTTTATAAATAAAACTAGTCAGTTTTATCTAAAGAGACATAAAATTCATGTGAAAGGGGAGAGAAAATCCAAAGTTTAGCTGTCCATCAATTTAGGGGTGTGCCACTTATCTGAGCTTTCACATAAAGATTAAAGTCATTCAAGATTTTGGTCACTAACCATAGGCAGCGCTCTTACCTAGCCAGGAACCCCCAGGAGAGTGCATTCTTAAGGCAGAAGGCTGTAGCTAATTGCTTATCTCAGCACCCTAAGTTGGTAACAGCAGCCACTACTGTTCACAGCTAGGGCTACCCAATAAGTAGAGTTGGCCTTGTACAGTCAGACCTTCCACACACTAATGAATAAATTAACTCGGGAGCTGAGAAGGTCCAAGGATTCCCATACACTATTTTTGCTCTCCCTTGGGTATAAGCTGTCTATTTTACTAGAAATGGAAAAGAGGCTGGTTTGATCGGGAATCCCACTAAAAGCCCGATCACATTCCCCACTGCTCCTCCAAAACAAGTCCCCCCCATGGTAGTCTGCTTTGTTCCGAATTTCTCTCCCCCCTCACCCCTCTTAAAGTATTTAGCTGAAGAAGCTGGCAGATAGAAAGTGACAGACAGACAGGCAGCAGTGTGAGGCCACAGGAGAGTCATTCTTCCCAAATTATCAGTCCATCCATCCATCCATTACTGGAGAAGAGCTTTGATTGCCTGGTTGTCAGTGGCTTCAAGGGCAGTCAGTCCATCTGGGCCTTTCACAGTCTTATCAGCACCCTGAAAAAAGAGAGAACCTTCATTAACTGAACTTACATTCACATCAGAGAACAGTATGGTGAGTGCCAGAGGTGGCATGGGCCCTTTATACTCTGACCCTGGAACCCTTGGTTGAGGGAGTGAACCAACTCTGGAAAGTTGGCCTCTGTGCTATGACATGTACATGCCCACACTAACATACATACAGTAATAAGACAGAAAAAATTCAGAACGCAGTATTATTTTCCAGGTACTGTTGTGTTGCTGTGAAGAAACATAACAGAAGCATTTAAGTGGAGGCTTGCTTACAGTTTCAGAGTGTTAGTCTATGGTCACTCTGGTGGGGAGCAATGGCTGCAGGCATGACATCAGAGCAATAGCTGAGAGCTTACATCTGGTCCTTAAACCCCAAATATAGAGTGAGAGACTCAACAGTGTGGACTTTGCAAACCTCAAAGCCCAACTGTGGTGGTGACACATCTCCTCCAACAAGGCCACACCTCTTAATCCTTTCCAAAACAGTTCCACCAATAAGGGACCAAGTGTATGGGGGACATTCTCATTTAAACCACCACAACTCAGCACCAGAATTGAAAATAGTGGGTCAACTTTTACTTATCACATTTATCCAATTAACTAAGTTTTAACCAATAATATCCCTTGGCTTCTGGGGAAGGGAGAGAGAGGTGTTTGTTTTTTGAGTAAAGGGCATGGCTCCGTTCCAGTGGACGACATATCTAGGAATATATGGTTAGCACTCCGTGGGATGAACCCCCCCCTCCCCCCCGAGAGGAGCTAGTGGGGAGGAGAGGAGGTGACCACAGGGAGCTAGAGCTCACTTAACTGTGGCTTCACCTAGATCAAACACCTGAAAGATCCCTGCTCCTCCAAGTCCCAAGCTACCCAGCTTCCATTTCTCAGGCTCTCAATAATTCTCTCATCAGCCCAATAGATTTTCAAAAAGATCCAAGTTCCTGTTAAGAGTGAATTTCTATTATGCCAACATTTAGTTGACAAAATACTTATAATTCTATAGGCCAGATACAACTAATATTAGTGTTTTAGATGAAATTAAAAGACTATTCCTACAATAGCATAAAAAAATCAATTTGTCAACATGGTGAGAATATTAAGGTTTTTTTTTTTTTTTTTTTTTTTTTTAAAGGACTAATGAAGTTACTAAAGAATTTGGGTGTATCTGGCTCCATCCCTTTCTTTAGGAAGCAAGCCATTTTTAGTTATGTGACAATTTCCCTAGCTTTAGATAATGTATTCCTGTTACTGAGTTCCTAGCTTTATATTTTATCTTTTGATTTCCTGCTACAGAGATAGATGAATTATCAACACCCTCTTCCTTCTTCAGACTCCCACTTTCTAAATGTATCATTTTGTTTTGCAAATTTAAAGTTATTTGAATCTAGGTTTAGTCATCCATTTTGATGGTGTATCATTTCCCATAAAGTAGTATTATCAGATACCCTCCTGGCTTTGCCTGCCATTCTCCCTGGAGATCTTTTAATTTGCCAAATTTTGGGTACTTTAGGATTAACTTTTATATTCCGGAAATATATATATATTTAAAAATATATTAACTTTTATATTCTGGAAAACCTGTGAGTTATGTTGACTCTCAAAGTTAAAATGTACTAACAATGTTTGATTATTTGAGGTGAGTACTGCTTACTGTGGTACGTAGCCACTACTGTGCAGCCCTCACAAACAGAAGGAGCTGTAAGTAGTGATAACAGCCTGCGGCTTCTCAGTCTTATTCATTCATTTTCAAACAACAAAGTTTGAACCTTTATGTTAATGTTATGGTAAACTGGTAAAAAGTAAATCGGAAGACAAAATAAAATAAACTCGAGGAAAAATAGACAAAGCCCACAACTAGCAACTGCCCTAAAATACTCTGGAATAAGGTAGTATTGTTCTCTAATGCTGAGTCCTCTGGGTGATAACGTATTTGAGCAGTGAGGACAGTCAAAAGCCTAATCAATCCGCCCATTTTCCAGCTCGGATGTCTATGGTAACTGCTGTTTGGCCTGCTCCTCCCTCCTCTTGCTCAGCTCTTCCCACCCTCACTGGCTGTCCCGTATATGCATATATGTGTATACTCCCCATTCATCATAGGGCTGCAACACTGGCCCGAGTGCTTTCATTAGCCATCGCAGGCACATACAACCTTCATCCCCATGCTCACCAACACATCCCAAAGCAAGCCTGCAACCTCCCTACACACTCACTCCTCTTCAGTCTTCTCTCTCCCGGCAAAGAACTTCCCAAGACATGTGAGCACACTGGGACATTTTTCTTGTTGACTTTCCACCTAAGCAGTCGTTAAGTCTGCACTATCTTAGTATTTCCCAACTGCCTTCTTCACTGCTACCCTTATTTTCAGGGTCCCCTCACCATTATTAGAGGCAGTAGTTTTCTACTAGGTTTTACTTCTTTATCATGCAGCGTGCAGCTGAGACTACTCATGTCTATGTGAGTGACTTTTGTCTAACACAATACTGACAATGCTCTTCACCTTCTGAAGAGTTTTTATAGTGGCATCTCAAACAGCAATGGAAACAAATAAAACAAAAAGCCACAAGCAATCTCCCTACTATCTGCTTAATTTTGCCCACTTGACACATTTGGAGTCACCTGGGAAGAGGGAACTTAACTGCCTTCCTTCCCTAAGTTGCTTTTGGTCATGGTGTTTACCACATTAACAGAAAGCAAACTAGAACATAACTTATCTCTGATTTCTTGCTAAATATTTGCTAGCCCACACTGTAGCTTCTAGAAAACCTGCTGTATCTCCTGGTGTCTCTTCTGCCTTGAATGACACCCTTAGTTCCCTATGGACTCCTAAGACTGTCTAAGCTCTCCAGCTCCTGCTGGCTGACGGAGGACTTGACAGGGGTACATGGTTGTAATGTGGACTCCAAGAGCATGCTTGACTTCTTTGTCCAGTTCCCTCCTCCTTTGCATATTAGTTCTTGCTCAAGCAATCAATCAAAGCATTTCCATTAACCCTTGCTGTTTATGTACCTGTTTTCCTTTATCCCTACCCTTCCTCCCTATTTATCTGCTTTGAAATTTATCTACACCAAGCCTCACAAACACCTCAAATTCAACATCCCCTAAAAATCAATCTGACATGTTTTCTTACAAACACGTTCCTTTACCACAGTAAATAAGTTGATAGTCTTTGTGTTCCCAAGGCCCCCAAAGAGGATCATGTCAATGATGATAAATCTTCAAAGAAATGTTTAATCATGCTATATTTACTTTGCCCAAGAAAAATATATGCCCTCAAGACATTTTCTACCCAAATAAAGTTTTTTAAACATTACAAAGGTATTTTCCTTTCTTTTTCTTTCTCCCCATCCCTCCTTCCTTCCTTTTTTCCTTTCTTCCTTCCTTAGTACTTGTTACTATCTGAAATAAAAATTTCTGCCTTTAGAAAATGAGGTCTGTGTGGTCCAAGGATGCACTCACTTAGTTCTATATAAATTTAAATGAAAACAGTTTATTTTCCTTTATTTAACATTAAATATCCCACCAACTGAAAAATGCAAAGGACCAAAAGGTTGTTTCTTCTCTACTCACTTAACTGCCATGCAGTTGTCACAGTTTATGAAATCTCCCTAAACACCCCAGGCAGCTGGCTCCAGCTTCTGTTTGTCCACGGCATACTGGCTGAACACTATCTCCTGGCTCTCTTGAAGGCCAGTAAAACCTCTTAGTCTCTGTTTTTTCTTTGTTCACAGAGGTTGAAAGAAAATGGAATTCTCAGGCTCCAGTTTCTCTCATGCATCACTTTCTTTTTTCAGTAAAAGCTCAGAACAACATTCTCACCTCTTTCTCCTTCTTCCTTCCCAAACACAGATAATCCTTGCAGGAGCAATACTCATTCTGTAACCATAAAGATCACAGGTCTGGCTGGGTACAGAAGGTGGGCTGGTGATAAGTATATATAGTAGAGCCGGAGACTCAGCCTTACACTGCAATCATTAGGCAGCTTATTTTGAGGCAGTCTTGTGTAGAGTCCTAGAATAGGGGGTTCTGTTACTCACGACTGAGTCCCGCTCCTCTTATTACTCACTGGAGTCACAGACAACTTTACCAGCTTAGCCTGCATTCCATTATGACAGGGTCCTTACTGTAGTCACCTTTGTAACTTGACACCTGGGACACTGCCTCATACTCACTAATGCTTATTACATATTGGTTTAGTGAAAAAAATTATGCCTGTCTCATGATGTAACTGCATACCTAGGAAGACTGCACCCTTGCTGGACATACGCTCAGTCGCATCAGTCTTGTACTGTAGTGAACGTCTGCACCCAACTTCCCTTACCTATCATCCCATCTAAGCATATGCCACCATTTCCCACTGTATTAGGGTACTTTTAACTGTTTGCATGTATATTCAAATGTTACAATTGCCAAGGATCTTACAGATACTGTACCATTTTGGAGACTACTAAAAATGGATGTGGTATTTAGTGACATTAAAAACTATTCAAATACATAAATTACATGCATCGTAAAATTTTATTTACTGGTACAAGACTTGATAGCACATTTAATTTGCATGTTAATACTAGATATACTAAATAAAGACAGCTTAGACAGTAGCCCCATGACTTCTAATTTAATACTAAACATTATTATAACCCTTACATTTTGGTAATTTGGGGTTATAACATATTATAGACAAACCTTACTTTTTTTTTAATCACCGCTATGTTATGAAGTAGGGCACTGTTAACTAACTTTATAATGGGGTTAAGTACAACTTGTACAACTTGTTTAAGGTCAATCAGAACTTCCGATTAAAGTTCTGTATTCTGTATGCTTTTTTCTGTTTTTCAAAAATGTCAGGATGAGACATAGTTCCCTTGAGATATTTGCAACTTAATTGTGTGTCTTCAATGCAAATACAGAATGATAAAACTACCCCCCCCCCCGTGTGTGTAATCAAACCCAAAGACCAGCTTATTTAAGGCAAATGCTGTACCACTGAA